CTAACTAGTAAAATGTTGCTGATATCCTGATAAACATTTTACTAGTTAACAACTTTTTGATATCTTTCAAAAGAAGTGAGATATATAGGCTCAAAGTGGACGATCCGGATGTCGTTCTATTAGAGGTTTTAAGGTATATAAATATATTTTTTAATTTTGAAGTTTCACCTCTGAAACTGTGAAAATGTTTGGCTTTTTAAAAAAAATCGGGAAATTTCAAAATCCAAATTTGAAACAGTAATTTCCTAAAATTTCTGTTTTAATTTTATTTTGAAATGTTCCTTTTCTCATTGGAGGCACTAAACTACTGCGTGATCTCGGAGTCACGGACTCTATATTTTTCTAAGCCATTTACCATAATGATTAATTTTCAGAATTTTCTAGGCCACCAAAGTTTATGGTCTAACATTCACCCGCTGTGTATTCTAGACCATATACCATGGGGGCCTAGAAAACTCAAAAGTTAGGCCACTCTAATCCAACTCACATTATCTCTCCTCTCCATCATTTTCCCAGCCAAATAACTCAATTTAAACCCATTCACAAATGGACCGGCTGGGATTTTCAGCAGCGAATTGTACAGAACTCTTAGCACAACTTTTTTTCGATGAGAAACTTTTGTCTGAAAATTGAATTATAGATTTTCAAGGGGAATTTGTAGACGTACCGATCGGTTCGGCTCATTTCCGAAATAATCGTGTCCGAAATATTCGAGCGTTTTGTTGATTATTTGGAGCGTGTCCATATCTGGAGCTGAAAATCAGAGAAATAGGATATAGAGAAACATAGAAAAAGAAAACTCACCACTAGAAGCTACAATGGCATCCACAATTTCCTCCTTTTTTTGATTGTTTGAAACATCGATGACGTCATCTGGAGAAGGAACTTCTGATGGAGATTCCGGAGTTCCAGATCTTCTAGATGATCCAGATAGACGCTTCTGGAATTTTCTAATTTTTTGAAAATATAACATCTGAATTTACATTCTCTCGATCCTTATAACGACGTTGAGAGAGCCAAGACGTTATCTGAAAGTTGGAAAATTTGAGGACATCGGGACAGACAGATAAACAGATAAAAGTCATAGGCTCTTGAAAAATATAATTTTTTTACTGTTTATCAAGGGTTTTTTTTCCAGGAATACCAAACTCAAAAAATAAACTGGTTAATTTTTACTGTTTCTAATGAATATATAATACGCTAAAAACTATGAAAAATTGCTAATTCATTTAAGCGGTCCATTGAGTCAGAATATTTTCAATTTTTTGGGGAATTCTGACGGGGTTTTGCCTATTTTCGATCAATTTTCAGTTTTATTCTAATTCTCAAGATCCACATTTGAAAATGTGTAATTCAAAAAATTACTGTTTCAAAATAATTTGTTACCAAAATAGACTAACTGATAAGTTCTGCTTCGTTTTCAGTCGGACATCCATTATGATTTTTCAAATCTTGATTGGATGTAAGCCTCACGACGATTTATTAGGATTTCCAGTTTTCCGAAATGACAAGTTTCAAACTTGAAACAGTGATATTTAGAATATTGATTTTCAGAAATTTTCAGGAATTTCTTTCAATTTCTTCTTTTGAAACAACAATTTTTTTTCAAAAATTACTGATCAACAAATATTCAAATGAAGCAATGGGACATCTGGACACACAGACTCACATTCTCTTTTCTCTCCATTAATTTTTCAGCCAGAAAACTCAAATCTGCTCCATTGACATATGGACCTTTTCGAGATCCCAAAAGTGATTTGTACAGCAAATTCAGAAATTTCTCCGTTTGGTTTGTAATCCAGGTCTAAATGAAATAAATGGGATTTCACAAGGTTCTTGATTGCTTACAGTATGATTTTGAACATTTCCAAAGTAGCCAGGGGGAAAAAGATCTAGAGTTTTAATGATTATTTGGCGGGTGGAGAGGTTTTCCATAGGGAAACAAAAACAGCAAAAAATGGGTTCAGGTCTCTTTTAAAGGAGGAGCTTTAGAGAGTGAGAGACGCAGAGAAATGAGATCACAAATCGAGATAAGAGCTGATATTCTGAGGTGTCATATTTCAGAAAACTTCAGATTTTCAAAGAAAAAGTTTTTTGATTAAATGATAAAATCTCGTCGATAGGTTCTTGATCTTGATAATATTTTGGGTAGAAAAGTCTGGAAAAGTATTTTTTAATCTTTTATAGAAGGGCCCCTAACTTTGACCCAGTTTTCCCGGTTCAGTGAAACGCGACTGCCAAAAATTACAAGAATCGAATTGCAGAAAAATCAAATTAATTCTGATATTTAAAAAATCATTATGGATCTCTATGTGTCTGTACGTCTGAATGGCTCTAGTTAGACTCATTGTTTTGAAACAGTAATTTTTGAATTTTTCACTGTTTCAAGTTTGAAATTTCAACTTTTGAAAATTAGAAATAGGCATAATACCGCCAACATATCATGTCGGCTGCTCCAAGATTCGCCAGTTTGACTGCAGCTTTGGCAAGCGAGAGTAAGTTCAGTCAGGCGGTCAGTTTCCAGAAAATTAATTTTTTTTAATAATTTGAATATTTTCAGCTCCTCTGCTAACTTTGCTAATCATGTTTTGTTCGTTTCTGAATTAATGGAGAACTTCATTTTATCATACTTGTAATGGGCCGGGCCGGGCTTTTTCCCGAATTTCGGAGGGCCGGCCCGGTCCGGCAGGCCTGTTATTCCACAAGTTTTGAAAATTTCAAAAAACACATAAGGGGGGACCCTTATGCGATTTTTTTGGCAAAAAAATTTTTTTCGAGTTTTTAAAAAAATATTTTTTGATCAAACAGGCAAACAATCCAAAAAAAACAAAAAAAAATGGAGAAAATTGTATTGAGAGCTCAAAATTTGGCTCAAAATGACAAAATTTTTGCTACCGGGCCTTTCGATCCGGGCCGGCCCGGAATTTTACACGTATACATTTTATTATTTTTTCAGATAATTATTTTTTCAAAAGTTTCAATTTTTCAGTTTTGTGGGCAATATTTTACTGTTTCAAAACTTTCAAAAACAAAACAGGGGTTTTCGGTAATTTAGTCTTCAATTCGATTAAAGGTGGGGGGTCATGAAAAAATAATGTTCTCGAAATTCTGTTTAAATATGCCCCTCGAGGAGTTGAATTTGTCGAGGCGAGTATTGAAGGTGCGGCGCCGCTACCGACTGAGCCATGCGGGCGAAACTGGAGCGGGCGCCTGATTGCATACATAAAGGCGAGGACGACCGCTGTACGCAGAGTGACATTAAGCGTTGTACACCGTTACGGTAGAATGCATACTCTGGCCCCAAAAATCCCCCGTAAAATCTCCTGTCCCCCCACCTTTAACCATTTTTATTGCGAGCTCTAACCAATTTTGCAACCGTTCCTCCTAATTTTTTGCGCAAAATCATCATTTTCCTCTTCATAACCAAAAAAAGGGTCACCACTTGAGCTACAGCTGCATTGGCAGATAAATATAAAAACGGACAGCTGGAAATGTTTTTTCATCTATTTTCTCAAAATCTAGATGAACATATGTTCCAAAATTGTCTGTACTATTTGTAAATAACAAATTTTATATAGAAGGAAAAGGTTTCGAAAGAATTAAGAAGAATCATAAATTATAGGCATAGCTCATCTTGTTCTTCAAATAATTAACCATGGAAAAATGGTTCGAAACTTCCGGAAATAATGAAAGAAGTAGTTGGGGGCGACGGATAAATTGGATTCTGTGAGACGAGTGGAGTCAGAACTGGCAAATCGTGTCTTGAAATGAATGCTGTAACACTTGAACTGTTGACTGGAGTACGGTAGTTTACAGTTTTCGATCGACGCTCCTCCAGGAAAATGTGAGGAAACTTTGTGATGGCGTCACTGTCGTCAGAAGTCTCCAGATGCTCGATGAGTTGATTGATGTACTTGGCGGCTTCTCTACAACAAAAAATTGTATCAAAAAAATATATTTTTTAAATTATGAGCTAAATTCTTTGAAATAGCCATTCCGATGAATGAATTCTGAGTTTTTAGAGCTTTCTGAGCGCTTTCAATCAACGTTTCTTGATAATTCTCAGAAGGGAATTTGGTTTTTAAATAGTTATTTATTATAATGTCGCAAAGTCCATTTTCTCATGTTTCATAGGAAATCTCTAACTCAAATAAAATAACATATACTTGAAACGAACGCATTAATCAAAACTAGAAACAGTCACTTTTGAATTTTGCTTGTTTTCTTTTTTACTCGAGTTACGGTAAAATCTCACTGTTTCAAAAGATTTCGAATACAGCTCTCGGATTCAGATTGGTAATACGTGAAAAAAATGTGTTTTTTTTTCGAATTTTTATGCAAAACCTACCGTAATGCCTGTGCTCTTGAAAAACGAAGCCTGAATTCCGATGGTGGAAGAAGACTGATGAGAACATCGAACATTTCGTTCATTTGGGACACTCGTTGACGTTCGCGCCTGGAATAATGATTACGGTTTCATTGAAAAATTATAGAAAACTCAAGAACAGCGGCAAAGATAATATACTAACATATGTGGAATAATCATTTCAAAGAATAAATTTCACCATAGGAATCTTACAAGCTTATGGTATGGTACAGTAACCTCGAATCTACAATACTACTAAAGTTTCCAAAACTCACATATTAGCTCTCAACCGCTTTCCATCCGTGGGTCCTTGTGACTCTTCAATTTGTTGGAGCGAACCATTTTTCAATTTTGTAAAGTTGAGCAATGAAATGAAAGAGGGTGGATATCTAAAATAAGATTAATATAATTAATTTCTAAAAGGACACAGTACCACCTGTTACATAACCAGATGTTCCCTTCTCTAGATAGAAACACTAAGAAGACTAAAAATATAACAAGATTTATTAGAAAATGAAAAACTGTCAAGCTACGCGGTTAGCAACTGGCGCCTTTGGACAAACGGCGTATTTGCATGGGTTACGGTAACCAGAGATCATATCTACCGTATCCCATATCTGCATCGACTACGCTAGTCATGGGGTACGGTAGTCACATTAGAGTGTGAAATGTGCTTTTTTTTTCTCAATATTTTTCTGATATGTTAGACAACAATTGAACAGTAATTTTCAAAATATTCACTAATTGCCCGCGGTATGTCCGGGGTATCAGGTTCCTGTGATAAAATAGAAGAAAATCAACAAGAAATGTAACAAAATCGGTTTATTATGAACAAGTTAGAAAGAAACAACAAATAAAAGCTTAGAATTCAAGCAAACTCACTTGAAATCCTTAAAAGAGTCTCTCAAAAACTACGAGTCAAATCCAAGCTCGCAATCACTCAAAACTAAATTCAAATTGTGCGCGCGCCGAGCGGGATAGCGGAGTGTCGTTGCGTGGTTAGAGGGAACCTTTAGAGGGGGTTGGAGGGTAGCTGCCCCAGGCAACTCACTGTTTCAAGTTTGAAATTTATATTTTTGAAAGTTGAAAGTGTCAGTAGTATTGAGATTCGACAGAAAAATCGGTTAAAAATCATAAAAAAATCTGTATATATAAGAAAATCAGCAAGAAAATCAGCAATTTTTATATAATTTTTCCAATAATCCGAAACCGATAAGAATATTTGTAAAAAACCGGTCTAAAATAGACACAACACTATTAGACACCACCAAGAGTTGAAAATTTTGTGATTTGAAAAACCACCTTGATGAAGCAGCACATTTTTACAGATTTTTACAGTATTATTTCATTAGAAACAGTAAAAATCATGTTTGCTGTTTTTTTGAGCTTGGTTTTTTTTCGAAGAATGCAAAACAAATTAAAAATGACGAAAATTGAAATCGCGCCCCAAAGAACAAAACATTTTGCAGTGCGGATTTCGTTGATTCTATTCCACATACTGGTATTATGAAAATTCGAACTTTTCAAAAATTTGTGACATTATCCCTTCAATCTGTTTGTCTGTCTGTCCAGATGCCCCGGAATTCAGGACCGAGATAGTGCTAATTCGGATGTATCCAGAAGCTTCCATCTGAATCATATGGAAGAGCTGAAACTACAGAATCTCCAGATGACGTCATCGATGTTTCAGAAAATGAGAAAATGATGGCAATTGTGAAATCCATCCTCTGCGTCTGTCCGAAATTATATACTATTTCTTTGATTTTCAGATTGAGAAATGGACACTTTTAAATCATAATCAACAAAACTCTCGAATTTTTTGGAGAGCCCGATTATTTTGGAAATGAGCCGAACAAATCGGCAAGTCTTCAAATTCCTTTTAAAATCTGATAAGCTTCTGTTCCTTTGGCTTCTCTGAAAGAACGCCCTAGTTTTGAAAGAACAAATGGTCATCGGTGTGTCTGTATGTCTAGATGTCCGGAGCGTCCAATGAACCGAGCAGAGTGGACTCCCAGTTTTTCGAAATTTGAAGTTTCACAATTGAAACTGTAGAATTACTGTATAAAAAATCCAAATGTAGCTATATTAGAAATGGAAAATTTTGCTATTCACAGACTTCTGAATTCCAAAAACATTTTCTTCCGAATTCCAAACTTTTGGTGCCGTCGAGAAAAAAAGAGACCTTATTTACTGTTTCCAATGAAAATAACATTGGAAAGAGTTATATAAAAATTGCTGCTTCGTCCAATTGAGCTAGAAAAATAGAGTATTCCCATTCATTTTTAATGGCATTTTTGGTGCATTTTAACCCATTTTCAGTGATTTTTCTGCAAAAATGACGGGAACTTTCCAAACAACCTAATAGTATATTTTCGTAACTATTTTCGTAACGTAAAGTCGGATGTTTGGGAAACCAACAATCATATTCCAAAAAATAACTCAAAATAGTCAAAACACCATTGAAAATGACCAAAACATTCAAAAAAACAACAACAATTTTCTGAAATTGCTGTTTCAAATTTGAATTTTGAAATTTTGCTTTATTTTCAAGTTTTATTGATAGACCTTCCAAAAATTTCCACTGTTTCATAGTTGAAAGTTGAAAATCAACATGTAAATTTTTTTACTTAAAGCCCCCCCCCCTTAGAAAAAATATCTGTCCACCTGTATGTCCCGATGTCCCTTTTTTCAGTTGCTCCATTGGTTCAAAAGAAGTCGTTCTGAAGATACGGTAGATAAACATCGTTTCCGTCAAGTTGCACATTTTGAGGTTGAATTTCGAAATTTTTAAATTTAAAAAATCCCTGGAAAATTCTGAAACTACTCCACCGAAAATTCTGAAACTACTCCACAAAATATCAAAAAGATCAAGAAATCTGGAACCCCAGAATCCTCAATCAGCTTTTCCAGAAGAACTTGGTTTTCCGGAGAAGTTTTTTCTGGTGAATTAAAGGAATCTAGATGTAAAAAACTGGAAAATTTCTGGAATATTCTGAAACTACTCCACCATGTTATAATGTGGAAATATTCAAATGTCTTATGATTAATGTTTGAAGAAATCGAAATGATATGAATTTCTAGAAGATTCAGATCAAATTTTTAAAAAGAATTCCGGAAGAATGTTTGGATTTTTGTGGATTTTTGTTGAATTTTTTGTAATTGAATAAATTTTCTGCTTCAAAATTCAATTTTATTTTTTTCAAAAATCCATACAAAACAATAGCATAACGTTATTTGGGTTTAATTCACTTCAAAGGTAACATATTAGTAATACAGTATGAAAGATACTTGATAATGTTCATTTTTTATTGTTTTCACTATAAAAAAACGACACCGAAAAAACAAAAATTCTAAATTTTCTACATTAAATATCAAAGTTTTGAGAAAATTCTGTTATTTTTCGTTTTCTTCGACCATGCTCTTTGGTATAGAAAGCGGCGAAAAAGCCTAATCTGTCATCTTCGGAACGGTCTTTTCGTATTTCCGTTTGTCCCCTTTTCGCCCGGTAAATACACACCAGAGTGTCCGTCTTTTTGTTTGTGCTCATTTTGGACCCCTCGCTTTTTCCTCTTTTTGTACTTTTTTTTGTTTTGAAATTGAGCATTTATTTTTGCTATTATTTCAGCTAGAGTTCAAGTAGGAATTGGTCTGAAAATCCGTTCCAAAAAGTTTTTTGAAACAGCAATTTTTTTCGAAATATACTGAGTTCAATTTCTTTTTGTTTACCTTTTGTTCCGCCGATTTTTCGAATTTTCTATTCGGGATCAAATTTCGCTGGGAGATTTAGCACATTTTCTTCGTTTTTGGAAGATTTTTTGAAAATTTTGAAATTTATAAATTGAATTCAAATGTTTTGATTATCTCTGAAATGTTGAAAGTCCACTAACTTGAATTTATTGAAATTGGTTTTCAGAATTTTCGGAAAATTTTGAAACAGCAAAGAAAGCTTGAACTTTTTTTGGAAGATCAATGAAGAAAGTTTCGAAGAATTGATTTAATGATTTTCCTGGGTCCTGGGTCCTGGGTCCTGGGTCCTGGGTCCTGGGTCCTGGGTCCTGGGTCCTGGGTCCTGGGTCCTGGGTCCTGGGTCCTGGGTCCTGGGTCCTGGGTCCTGGGTCCTGGGTCCTGGGTCCTGGGTCCTGGGTCCTGGGTCCTGGGTCCTGGGTCCTGGGTCCTGGGTCCTGGGTCCTGGGTCCTGGGTCCTGGGTCTATATTTTCGATTTTGCACTCGATCTCCTCCAATCTCCCATAAGACTATTTCCACTTTCTAAACAAGGCAATTTTCTGAAATATTCTAAAATCTGTAAAAGAAGGGCCCTGTAACTTTCAACTTTGAGCCAATTTATGGTCAACCGATAGTATGTTCCTGATATATATATGATAAACAGTTTATCAGTAGACACAATTTCGATATTTTTGGGGAGGGGCCTTCTATTACAGGTTTTACGGTATTTGTAATAAGTATTTTAGAAGCAGCAATTTTCTATGTACCCCTTCCTTTTCTCACCTTTCCCCCTTTTATGTATGTATATCGATAGCTGGGGGTACAGTAAGCCGTGAGCTTAACAATGTTTGGCAATGTGCCATTTCCCATTCGACACTTGCTTCTTTATCTTTCTCTACCCCAAACAAGAAAAGAGAGAGAGAGGGGGGAAATATCCTAATCAAATAAACAGTTCTTCACTCTCTTTGATTGACTTGTGCTTACTTTCCCCTTTCTATTTGACTCGTTCGATCTTGACATAAAAAAAACTGAAAATGAATTCCGCCAAAAAAGAAAATTATGATTTTGAAACAGTAATTTTTGGAAGAATTGCTGTTTCAAAATCAAAATTTGAGAATTATCTTAATGGAAAAAATACTTGTCTTACCATTAAGATTGCCGATCTAACATACTTTAAGCTCAATTATCTCGGTTCCTGTAAGAGGTAACAAAAATTTGTCCACTGATAAAATGTTGTTGATATTGTGACCAGGAGAATCTTTAAATCCAGGACCCAGGAGAATCTTTAAATCAATTCTTCGGGTATGTAATTTGAGGTCCTGAATCCGAATTTTCAGTTACCGGACACCTGTTTTAATCGGTTCTCCTGTTACACTCAAAAATTAAGGTGACCGTATAAATGTGGAACGCACTGTATTCGTTCAAATTTTGGAATCTTTTGAAACATTAATTTTTGAAAACTGGCTGTTAAAGGTGGGGGGACAGGAGATTTTTCGTAGTTTTTTTGTAGCTAGAGTATGCATTCTACCGTGACGGTGTACAACGCTTAATGTCACTCTGCGTACAGCTGTCGTCCTCGCCTTTATGTATGCAATCGGGCGTGCGCTTTCTCTTTTCCCGCGTGGCTCAGTCGGTAGCTGCGCCGCACCCTCAATCATCGCCCTCACAAGTTCAACTCCTCGAGGGGCATCTTTGAACGGAATTTCGAGAACGTTATTTTTTTCATGTCCCCCCACCTTTAAAAAATATCAAATACTTTTTGGTATTCTCAAATAATTTTGAAACTGTAACTAAAAAAATTTTCCAGGATATCTCCCGCGTTCAGCCGGCCACTATACTTTGTGTGTGCCAAGGCTCCGCCCACTTATCTACACTTTACGTGTGTTTTGCAAAATTTTGACCGTGTAACCCATTGCTCGCCCAGCCCTGGCTGAAAAACTCAGGAAAAAAACTGCCGTTTCAAATTCTTAGTTTTCTCAGGCTACCATTTTTTAATATACTTTTTACAATGTTCATTGAGAAAATCATAATTTTCAGTGATTTAAATTTGGAATGTTTCATTTTTCAATTTTGGTGTATTCGCGGGCAATTAAAACTAGTTAAAAATATAATTGAAATTTTCGCTTTAATTTTTACATTTATTTTGGAACATTTGCATTTTTTGCTGATTTTCAATGTTTCCGAAATTTTCTAAAATTACTGTTTCAAATATTGATATTAAATTTTATATTTTCACCTCATTTTGATGCATGATTTCTAAGTTGCTGTTTCAAATTTTTCATTTACGACCGCTGAAATCAGATAGAGCCGAAGTTTCCAAGATCAATAGAAGATAAGATAATGAACAGAGCAAGTACAAGATTGATAGAATTGAAAAATTGAAATTACCAAAAATTGTGAAATCTTTGAAACAGTAATTTTTGGGTTTCATAAATACCGTAAACACTCTAACAGAACGCCAACCGGACCGTTCACATTGAGCCTAAATATCTCACTTCGTTTGAAAGATATAAAAAAGTTGTGAACTGATAAAAAGTTTATCATGATATCAGCAACGTTTTATCAGTTAACCACTTTTTGATATATCTTACAGAAAATGAGGTACATGAGCTCAAATTGGACGATTCAGGTGTCGTTCTATTTGAGTGTGAGAAAAAGTCCAAAATCCAAATTTTCTGTATAAAATAACAAGTTTTAGATACGATTATAATTTCCAGTGTTTCAAATTCAAATAGTTGGAGATTTCAAAATTGTTGAAATCCGAGAAAAATTACTGTTTCAAAATTCTTTAGACTTAAAAATTTCAAGAAATTTTAAATTTTGATGTATTTGCGGGCAATTAAAACTAATAAAAAAAAAACAATTCATAATTTTGCTGTTTCAAATATCGAATTTCATTGAATAATTCATTTTTACATTAATTATATAATGGATATCGTGTTTTTTGCTAGTTTTCCATGTTTCCAAAATTTTCAAAAATTAATTACTGTTTCAAATATTCCTATTGAATTTTATATTTTCGCCTCGTTTTGATAAGTGTGGAAAAAAATTATTATAAAATTTTAGATATATTAAAAATGCCAATTTTCTATTTTTTTTTTAATTCGGAAAAAAATCTGGAATACTTTTTTAGAGTTTCAAGAATGACCATTTTTCAAGAATTCAAAAATCACAGTTTCAAAAGTTTTCAAAAAAATTCTAAAATTTTGTTATTTTTAATATGTAAACCAGAAAGTGATAATCGTTTTAAAAACCAAATTTTGAAATTCACTGCTTCAAAAATTTTTCGAAAAAATTCAAAATTTAGGTTATTTAATAGGTACACCAAAAAATGATAATAATTAAAAAATCAAGACTTTAAACATTTTTTGCAGTCCTTTTGAAAACATTAACTTTTTTGACAGTAACCAATTTTCGTTAACTGCCAAAAAACTTTATTTTGAAACAGTAAAAAATGTATGTGTCACTATTGACATTTCATGATTCCCTGCTCATAACTCTATTTTTCAAGTGTTCCATATTCCATACAAAATACTCCCTTAAAAGTATAAAACTCAAAAGTTCGTGTGTCGGCTCGACTCTCTTTTAAACTGTCTATATTTGTGAGTGCTCACACACACACGTTTCTCTGCGTCTCTCACTTTTCCTTACTCTCTCGCTCGTCACCTCCAAGTGACCACAACCCGCACCCGCCGTCCCCCGACCCCCTCTTCAACCTAAACGCCCCATAGAAAGAAAAATAAATCAAGAGGAAGGAGGAAAAGTAAATACAGTACTCTCCGGTTCTCCCGCAAAAGGAGACAGAAGTTTACTTTATTTCCCCAACAATCTCTTATCATATCATTTTATATATCTTTATCTGTATAGTTTTGAATATATATGGGGAAAAAGGGGCGGAGCTTAAATCCCGAAAGATTTTTTTCCTTTTTTTGGTCAAAGTTTTGAAATATTGAAACAGCGATTTTCTCTCAATTTTCAATTTTTTCAAATTTTTCAAAAAATCATACTCCCCCCCCCCCCCCCATATTTTCATCATTTTTATCTCTATAGTCCTTAATTATTGGGAAAAAGGGGCGGAGCCTAATATTCCTAACAGATATATTAGAATTTAATAGAATTCAAAATTTACCAATTAATTTTGAAACAGTAATTTTTGAAATTCTATGAAAATATTGGAAATTGGATAATCAATGTTCTATTTTTTTTTGTCTTTTTGCAAATTTTTATATTATTCGAGATATATGGAAAAATGGGCAGAGCCTAAATTTTCAATAACTCTGGTTTTTGGTAATGGGAAACCTCACAGAATAGAAAATGAGAAATTTTGGAGCTAAATTATTAATTTTGAAACAGAAATTCTTTTTTGGAATAATATTTTATATCTTTATTTGTATAGTTTTGAATATATATTGCAAAAGGGGGCGGAGCCTAAGTTTTGGCTAACTTTGATTTTCAGATTTTCGAAATTTCTTGTTTTTTTTCTCAAAGTATAGTAAGCAACCTCGGGAATGGAAAATTTGAAAATTTGAAAACCACTTATTAATTTCGAAACAGCAATTTGCGAAAATTTTACTTTTTAACATCATTTTATATATCTTTATCTGTATAGTTTTGAATATATATTTAAGAAAGGGGCGGAGCTTATTTTGATAACTTTTAATTGAATTTTGATTTTTTGGATTTTCCTGGTTTTTCGAAGAAAAAGAGAAGTGATCGTACAGAAAATGAAAAATTTCTATATCAAAATATTATTTTCGAAACAGTAATTTTTAAAACAAAACGCTGAGATAACATTGTTTTTTTTCTAATATCAGGTCTAAATATCGATAAATTGAAACAATAATTTTTCCAATTTTTCACTTATTTTTCAGAAATTCCAAAAAAATCATTATCACTTTTTTTTGAATCAATTGATTAAAAAAGGGGGCGCAGCCTTATTAATTTTAAAACAACAGCAATTTGTCGATACTGTGAAATCATCAAATTTGAAATCATATTGATAAATTTCAGTTTTGAAACAGTTAAAATTTTGGAACCTCGAACTACGAGTGTTCAAAATATCGAAACACTTTCTTAGTTTTTTTTTTGTTGAAATTTGACTTCAAATTTTATCATTACTACCAATTCATCTCTTTATCTGTAGTTACGAATATATATTTGAAAAAGAGTTGATCATATTCTATTAACTTATAAATTTAACTTTGTTTTTCTCCAAAGATCAAAAATGAACTTAAAGGTGGGGGGACAGGAGATTTTACGGGGGATTTATGGGGCCAGAGTATGCATTCTACCGTAACGGTGTACAACGCTTAATGTCACTCTGCGTACAGCGGTTGTCCTCGCCTTTATGTATGCAATCAGGCGCCCGCTCCAGTTTCGCACGCATGGCTCAGTCGGTAGCGGCGCCGCACCTTCAATACTCGCCTCGACAAGTTCAACTCCTCGAGGAGCATATTTAAACAGAATTTCGAGAACATTATTTTTTCATGACCCCCCACCTTTAATCTAATAGAAAAATATGAAAACTCAAAAATTACTTATCAATTTTGAAACAGCAAATTAGAATACCGCAAACACTCTAATAGAACGCCGCCCGAATCGTCAAATTTGAGCCTATGTATCTCATTTTCTGTGAGAGATATCAAAAAGTGGTTAACTGATAAAACGTTGCTGATATCATGATAAGCATTTTATTAGTTGACAACTTTTAGATATCTTTTAGAAAAAAGTAAGATAATAGGCTCAAAGTGGACAGTCCGGGTGGCGTTCTATTAGAGTGTTTACGGTAATAGATTTTGCTATTTGCAGCTTCGAATTCTCATTACTTTGTTATTTTTCATTCGAGATATAAAAAAAACATCTAAGCGTTTTATGGATAAACGACTAGTCTCCAAATAAAAGTTAAAAACATGCCGAAAGTTTAAAACAGTGAACATTTGAATTTTTATAAAATGTTCATCCAAAAAACGTTCGCTAAATTGAATTTCACGAAATTCAAGATAAACTGTCTTTTCCAAATTTTTATATTTTTTCAGAAAATTTTGAAACACGAGATTTTTTTGTAACATTCAAGTTTCCGAAAATTTAACTGTTTCATCAGATCTTTTTAAAATTTAGCAAACATCTGATAATATTCCGATCATCTCTGTTAGTAGAAATTAATCCAAATTTTATCTGAAAACTATGAACGTTATAATTTACAGAATGTACACCATTTTTCAGCAAAAATAATTTTCCTAGCTATACTATGAACCAAGATATGATTCGTTGAAGTTTAGAAGGTTAGAGACGTAGACAGCTAGACACTCGAACTGTCTGCGACTCTAGGGACTTGAGTTCTGGAGTTTTTTCATAATCTCAGAAAATTTCACACAAAACAGACAGGTTATTTTTCGTGCACTTAAGGATGATCATTTTTTCCTCAGTATTGTGGTGAAAAAGGCTAAAAAGAAAACATTTAAAAATTACTGTTTCAAAATTTAAATGTTCTGTTTCGATCCGTCAAATATTCGTTCTGGTTGGAATTCTTGAAAGAAACAATACTACCGTAAAACCTCTAATAGAACGACACCCGGATCGTCCACTTTGAGCCTATATATCTCATTTTCTGTGAAAGATATCAAAAAGTGGCTAACTAGTAAAATGTTGTTGATATCCTGATAAACATTTTATTAGCTGACAACTTTTTGATATCTTTCAAAAGAAGTGAGATATATAGGCTAAAAGTGGACGATCCGGATCTCGTTCTATTAGAGGTTTTACGGTATTTTATGAAACTTGTGAAAACGGCCCAAAACTTTTAAACGCTGAATAAGTCACAGAATAATGTCCTATCATTCTTTCTTTTAACAGTAAAAGTAAAAAATAACTGTTTCAAAAATATTTCAAAAATAAGAATCATTCCCAAATCTCTAATCGCTCATTTTCTGCCCAAAATTTTTAAAAGGTCACTATCTTCTTTATTCATGAACTCTGAAATTTCTGAACTACGTTTTTTCACCTCGCCAGAATTGTTTTCTTTTTCACGTGTTGAGCTATTTGAATTTTATATTAGTAACATGTTCTTAAATCCAACAATTGAATTTTTAAAAAAATTATTATCATTATAGCAGGCTGTCTCCGTACTAAATGTTTTATTCCAAAAATTATTTTAAAGACAAGCCTGTGATAGAAGGGTCCTTAACTTTGACCAAATTTATCTCAGTTCCTGTAAAAGATATCAAAAAGTTGTCAATTATTAAAATGTTTCTGGGATTATGGAAAGCATTTTTCTAGTCAACGACTTTTTTATATCTTTTCCAGGAGCCTTAATAAATTAAGTGAAAGTTTGGGCCTTTTTAGTCGCACTGTGTCTCACGAGAGCCTACCAATTTAGATCCATTATATCTCAGATCCTGGGAAAGATACCAAGAAACTGCCAACTTATAAAATATTTGGTATACTATGTTTGGCATTTTTCTAGTTGACAATTTTTTGATATCATTCCCAGGAATCTAGACAATTATTATCAAAGTTAAAACCCCTGTAGCCACCTTGACGGGTTCACCTGTAGTAGAGAGGCTTGACATATTTGACCCAATATATCTCGGTTCCTGTCAAAGATATCGAAAAGTGGTCAATTAACAAAATTTTTGCCATAATACCAGCAACATGTTATTACATGACCACATTTTGTTATCTTTTCCAGGGACCTAGAAAAATTGGGTTAGGGTTAAAGGCCCTTTTACAATCTACAATAAAGGGGAGGATGTACCCCCCTATAAAAATTCCTCCAAGTTCTTGCACATCTACACATCTATATATAATAATGCCTTTTGTACATGTTTGACCTGTCTTTTGTCCCCCGAGGTACACACCTAATCGCCTCCTCCTCTTCTTCTTTTGGCTCATCCGCCTTTCGTGCTCCGCCAATACCCAGGGCACCCAAAACTTAATCCTCTTTGTTGTTCTCCTCTGGTTCTAAGTTCTTATTTTCTTCTTGTTTTCCGAAGATTTTGAATTTGAAAATAGAATAAAAGACATGCACATCGTTTTGTTTGATTCCTCTAAAATTCCTTTTTCCGTTTTGCTCAGGAATTTCAAGTTATAATTGTTCTTTCTGTGTTATGCTACATGTTTCTTATAGCTACCGTAACCCATATTGACTTGAATTTTGAAATTCGTTGCTTAACTAGTCTAGCACTTAACAACTTTTGGAATTGTTTAACTATTTGTTTAAAATAAAATGATTGAATCCAAAAACTAGTCAAATTTTTCGTTTTAAAAAAATTATGAAACAGTAAATTTTAATTAATTTTTTGACATTTTTAGTTATAGCGTAGATTCTTTGATGAATTTTCAAAAATTTTGTGAATTGAAATCCGTCTAAATTTTTCAAATTTTGGTTTTTAGAGAATCAAAAAACTTTTTTTTTTTCTCAAAAAAAATTACTGTTTCAAAATTTCTCAAAAATTATGAGACTTCAGTACTTTTCAATACCTTACTGGAGCGTTACCACTTTTTTCTATTTTTCGTTAAAAATTACTGTTTCAAAGTTTTCAGAGATGTCTATACTGATTTTTTTTTTCTTCAATATTGATATTTCGTCACAAATTGAACTGTCACAAAAACATCTAGATTTTAAAAAAATTCTATAAAGTTTTTCCAATTTTCTAATTTTTTGAAATGTTTAAAGGCATTATTAACTTGTTATAATGTAAGCAAAGAAAAAATTTGGTCTATAAAATTTTTGAATTTTTGAAACAGTCACTTTTTGATTAAAAAAACATATTTTGACTTTTCCAGTGCAAAATAGTCGGTTTCCGAGTTTTAAAAAAAGTAGTCTAGAATTTTTCGATTTGTCTGAAAAGTCTAGAGTACGCTAAACAGAAATAGAACTTCATTTTTGTAATTGACCATTTTTCGGTACAAATTCAGCAAAATGAGATATGCCCAAAATCCCAAAATTAGCAGTAAAATAAGTTATGTTCCTTAAAAACCTCATATCTCGCTTTGTAGAATTTTTCCAAAAAAGTTGTGTACTACAAAAATGAAGCACTACTTTTGTTTAGTATCCTCTGAAATTTTCAGACAAATCGAAAAATTTTGGACCACTTTTGTAGGGGCTTTAAAGTTGGCTAATATGCACTGCGTAAAGCTTTGATTCGCGCCGAAGGCGCGCCAGCTAGCTATCTGTAGCTATCTGAAGCGCCGGAGGCGCGGCATGCTTTAGTAAGTAACCTGGGGAAATGGCACAAAAAGTGTTCTTTGAGGTTATTCCACAAAAAACCCATTTTTTGAAACAGTAATTCTTCTTAAAAATTTCTAACATCTCCAGAAATAGGTTCCCCAATACCTGCAAATTAGGAGCAGGAACAATGGACACTTCGAAACCTAATCTTCTCTCCTCCGAACGTTCTGCTTTTCTCTCTCTCTCTCTCTCTTTCTCTCTCTCTCTCTCTCTCTCTCTCTCTCTCTCTTTTTTCTCTAAATTTCGTATACCCCCCCCCCCCCTATTGACCGCTGGCCGACACATACACTATCCGTTTTGTTTTCTCATTTCACTCATTAGGCTTATTTACTTTTTGACCCCCTCCTACCCGAAAAATTGGTCACGTTCCAACCCAGAGAAATAGTATGGGAAGGTGAGAGAGTGGGCTAGAGAAAGCATTGGACAATAGGACGAGCCTAAAAAATGACTGAGCAATGCAGCGAGAAAATGGGTCACCACCACCAAAAGCACTCTCATTGTATTTGACAACTTTTGCCCCCATTGTTTCAAAAAACATGAGCAGGTACTACTAGTGAGGTTAGAGCACTTGAAAAATCTCATTTTTTTCTACTTTTTTGGAAGGTTATGGATATGGATACACCCCGTTTTGGCTACTTATACACTCGGAATTTATCACCTTCTCGCGTTTTGCCTCCCTCTTCCGTTTATCTTTTGTTTGAGCACGTTTTCGCGTGCTCATTTAGCATTGCTCATATAGGAAATGATGATACGGTAGTTAAGATTTGAAAGCTTTTGAACCATTCTTAAAAATAAAAATTGATGTTTCAAGAATCATTGCAAAATCTAATGTTTCTTGAATTTTCAATTTTTAAAAAATAATCCTTTTTAGACACTTTATTTGAGGTTTTTACAGTAGTAACATTAAATCTGTGAACTATCGAACCCTATTTTTTTATTTTGTAAAAATTACTGTTTCACAAAATCTTGAAAAATGACTTAATCCACTCTGTTCCGTGGTTTTCTGACATTTTTTTGAGATTTTTACAGTGGTAAAATGATTTTTTAACTGTTTGAAAGGAATCTGAAAATTTAAAGTTTTTGTTTTGAAATGTTTATTCATTCATATGTTGGTTTTTTATAATTTTCTCTGTTTCATGCTTCCTATTGATTGTTTTTTTTCACTGTTTCAGAGATTTCTAGAATCTCTAAACTTGAATTATATGATGATGTTTTGATCGTCTTGTGTACTTCAGAATCTTTTGGAACATTTTGGAAAAAAAAGTGATTTCCTAGGGGATCAATAGCTTCTGCCAGAATTGCTAATATACGATTTTTTAGTAATCTTTCAAGTTTTTGAAATTCAAAATTTCACTTTTTCATGCTCATTTATCCTTGCTCATAGGGTGCTCATAAATTTTTACAAGATTTTCTATTTCAAAAAATCTTGAAAAATGTCTAAACTTTTAGAATTTTCAGTATTTCTAGAATTAATCAACGGGCTTTTTATTGAGATTTTTTCAGGTACTAAATTATGAACTTTTTTACTGTTTCAGAAGGATCTGAAAATTTGAAGTATTTGTTTTGAAATGTTACTTTATCCATACATAGGTCTGTTGGTTTTTATAATTTTCTCTGTTTCAAACAATCTTGAAAATAGAATTTTTGGCAATTTCTTGGTTTTTTTGCAGTTATTTTCAAAACAATTTTTTCGGTTTCAGAGGTTTCTAGAATGTCCAGATTTGAACTTTATGATAGTTTCTTGACATTTTCTGGAAATTAGTGATTGTTGATATATTTTTTAATTCAAATTTTTAGTAATCTATCGAGCCTTTAAATTTTCAATTTTCACATTTTTCAATGCTCATTTCACACTGCTCGTAGGGAAGTAATGGTACGGTAGTGAAGTTCTTTTTTACTGTTTCAGAGATTTCTAGAATGTTCCAACTTGATGTTTATACCAAGTAATTTATTTGTTATTTAACTTTTAAAAAATGATTATTTGCTTTTTTACTGTTTCAGAGAAAACTGCAAGTTTCAAGTTTTTTGAGATTTTCCGGTTCTCCAACTTTCAATTTCACAATTTTTGGTTTTTCCTTTTAATTTTGTTTTTTGTTTCAAGTTGAAAAAAATTCCTGTTTGAAAAATTTTATAAAGTCGATTCGTTTTTCAATTTGTATTGAACCTTCAAAGTTTCTGCGTTTTTTCTAGACAATTAAAATTTTAATCACTTTGAAACATCTGCTGTAAACACTCTAATAGAACGCCAATCGGATCGTCCACTTTGAGCTTATATAGCTCACTTCTTTTGAAAGATATCAAAAAGTTGTCAGCTAATAAAATGTTTATCAGGATATCAACAACATTTTATTAGTTAACTACTCTTTGATATCTCTCACAGAAAATCAGATACATGGGCTCAAATTTGACGATTCGGGGGACGTTCTATTAGAGTGTTTACGCTATTTTTAAATCAAATTTTGATAAAGAATTTAGAATTTCTTTTCACTGTTTCAGAAATTTCTAGAATTTTCAATTTTGAGTTTCGCGATGTTAGGAAGTTTTCATGCACCCAGCATTTTCTAAAGCTCAGGATTTTGGAGATTTTTGAAATATTGTATTTTTAAACATTTTGTTTTTTAAAAGTTCTCTACATTTTTCACCCTTCTCATAATAAGATTACATTTTCTTGGTTTAAATTTGTTTATAATACCAAAAATTACTGTTTCAAATTTTCTTTTAATTTTTAATCTCATTAGCAAATGTGGACTTCTAAATTTTTATTCGGATTCTTCAAAATTTTTTCGCTGTTTCTGAAAATTTTCGAATAAAAATTGTATTTTCATGATTCAATTATTTCAAATTTTTGATTTCACAAATTGAACGAAATGTATGGAAAATCAAAAGAAAATCTTCCTGATCAAAAGTTTCAGAAATTTGAAAATTATCTTCTGTTTCAATTTTTTTTTGAATTTTTAACAAATTTATTTTGGTCTAATATTCTCAAGGTAAACACAAAACCCCAATATTTTTCGAACTTTATTATTTTTTGAATTTTAACTCTCTTTCTTTTCATTTCTGTGTCAAATTTCCCGCTCTTTTTCTCCAAAAATCCGTTTTTCCCAAAATTTCCCCATTTTTAAGTTTCCGTTACAGTAATCAACACCCACCATCACATGACCGAATGATGAGGCATCGACGACGTTCGATTTTCCTATCGCTCATTCTTCTTTTCTCCTCAACATCTACAGTAATCTGCCAAGAACCCCAAATATCTGATCAACCAATTGTCTCAAATCATGCTCCGGTTCTTCAAGTCTCGTCTACAGAAGGCTTTTTGGCTGAAACTGCTGAAATTGGGACGACGGTCCGAGTTTCTCCCAATTCTCAATCCGAATCGCTGCAGATTTTGGTGAATGATGAGGATTTGGTGAGTCATAGTTTCAAAAATTGTTTTTGAAAGGAATAAATATTTAACCAGATAATCTTTGATCTGGACACACAGATACACAGATAGACAGAAAAATACTAAATTCTGAGATTCAAACTGATCGTTATGCGCTTGTCAATCAGGAAAAAAATCAACAATAAAAAGTATAATATTCATTTGAAACGATGATCTGTGTAGTTCAAAAGTCTTGGTTGAATAGAAGAAAATAGAGATTTTTAGTGGAAATTTCAAAAAAAGTAGTTTCAATGTTTGTGTACAGTACCCCAGACCAAAATATATGAAATTTAGACTTTTGCCAGTGAAAAAGTAGGCCGATTTGAAGTCCTAAAAACTATTTCAGAGTTGTTATAGTGGTCTGAAAATTTCAGAGTTTACTAAACAAAAATAGAGCTTCATTTTTGTAATTAACAACTTTTTGCCAGCTACGGTAGCTTTGGAGATATGCGCCTTTAAAGAAGGTAGACTCCTCTGCACGCTCCACCTGTTTTAAAGACGCATATCTCAAAAACTAGGGTAGTTAGAAAAAAGTTGTTAACTACAAAATTAAAGCTCCATTTCTGTTTAGTATACTCCGAAATTTTCGGACAAATCGAGCAATTTTAGACTACTTTTGTAGAACTTCAAATTCAACGACTTTCCATTAAAAATATTTTTAAACAACTTTTTTGAAACAGTTATTTTTCCAGCAACCCGGAATGCCTCCAGCCACCTATCAGTACATTTTGACGGGTCTCGGAGCCACGATTTTCGCTGTCGATCAGAGAGGATATGTCTACCTAAATGTGCCAAAGATTGATGCGGACCCGCCAAATCCATCCACTTATCAGTTGAATGTAAGTACTTTAAAGGTGGGGGGACATGAAAAAAAATAATGTTCTCGAAATTCCGTTCAAAGATGCCCCTCGAGAATTTGAACTTGTGAGGGCGATGATTGAGGGTGCGGCGCCGCTACCGACTGAGCCACGCGGGCGAAGAGAAAGCGCACTCCCGATTGCATACATAAAGGCGAGGACGACAGCTGTACGCAGAGTGACATTAAGCGTTGTACACCGTCACGGTAGAATGCATACTCTAGCTACAAAAAAACTTCGACAAATCTCCTGTCCCCCCACCTTTAAATGCTTTAAACTTTTAATTCAAATGTGAGAGGAATGGTATTGAAGTAAAATTAAAGGCGTTTTTTTATCATGAAAATTTGAAACAGTAACAACGATTCAATGAAGAAAAGCTCATAAATTTTCAGATTAGAAAGTTTTGAAACATCTATTTTTAAAAACATTAAAGTTAAATTAATAAGGTTTTCAACAACTAAAAACTGAAATATTTTTGTAAAACAGCAATTTTTTCTAGAATTTTGAAAATATTTTTTCTATTTTTTTGATATTTTTTAACTTTTTACTGTGTACTGAGATAATTGAGCTCAAACTTGACAGTGTAGGGAGCCTTTTTATTTTGCAGATTTTACGGTATCTCAATTCCTACTAAGCTGATGACACCTTTTGAACTCTGTGATAAAGTTTTTTCTCATCTGGCAGAGTTTGGATATCTTACTGTAATGATACTGTTTCTGTAAAATTCTTACGCAATAATTCGAAGGGAAACCCAAGAGCGGACTGAATCGATATTAATTATCAGATAATCAGAAATTATTGAAACAGAAAAAAAAGTTTTCTCACTTTGATCTCAATTACCTCGATTACTGTAAGAGCTATTAAAATTTTGTCAACTGATAAAATGTTTGTTATGGTATCAGCATTTTTTTTCTTAGTTGACTACGTTTTGATAGCTCTTACAGTAACTGAGACAATTTATATGAAAGTGGCAAGTTACTTTTTTGTTAGTTACTGTTGCTTAAAGTTTTGCGACATTAAAGTTGAATTAATTATCAGATAATCAGATGTTATTGAAACAGAAAAAAAAAACCTCTGCACTTTGATCTGAATTATCACGGTTCCTATGAAAGATATCAAAAAGTGACTACCTGATAAAATATTGGTGATATTATGATAAACATTTTATCGCTTGACCACTTTTTGATATCTCTCACAGTAACCAACATAATTTATCTCAACGTATACATTTAACGAGTTTGAATACTGTTTTCAGTTTAGTAAGAAAATTTGCAACAAAATGAGCTGAAAAGCATCAAAAACGGATGATTTTGAAGCAATTTATAAGCCTTTGAAGTTGTGAAGAGACGCAGAGAAACGAGACCACTCTCGTTTCACTGCGTCTCTCCTTAACTTCAAAGGCTCATAACTCGTTTCAAAATGTTCGCTTTGAAATCACTTTCAGCGCACTTTGAAGCTGAAAAACTGGATAGCTAGACAAGAAGAACTACTCGATGTTCCGAAATTCCTAACTACAGTAATCCTCTCCTTTCAGGTGGAAGCTCGCGAAGTGAACACAATCCCAACGCGTCGTAGTGATCCAGTCACGATAACCATTCACATTTTGGACGTCAACGACAATTCTCCTCAATTCGAACAACCGATTTATATGGCAAATACGACTGCTAGTGGAGAGGAACGAGATGTTGTTAGAGTAGTGGCAACTGACGTCGATTCTGGAGCTTTTGGACAAGTTAGCTATGCCATTGCTCAGGTGAGAAGGGAGAATCGCGCCTTTAAATTTGGGTGAATCTATCTTGGATACTGTAAGAGATATGGAAAAGTTGTCAACTGATAAAATGTTTCTGGTATTATGACAAACATTTTGTTAGTAAACAACTTTTTGATATCTTTCCTATGAGTTGAGATAAATTGGATCAAAAATAACATGCCCCTATACTACGGTAGGTCCTCAGGGTGCCTAAAGGGTGTTTAACTTTGACCTATTTTATCTCTTTTGCTGTAAAAGATATTGAAAAGTTGCCAACTGAAAACATGTTTCGAAACTTTTTAATTGAGACAGACGTTAGGAAAAAAAACGAAATGTTTTTAACTGTTTCAAAATTGCATAATTCCGAAAACTCGAATCGATAAAACCAATGCATTATCTTGCTGAAAAACTCAAGGTACACAACTCGCTTGAAACTCATAATTCAATATCACAGTAACTATAAAAATGTAGAACTCAACAAGATCTACAAAATGATATTAAATTCAACTATATTCAAAATTTGAGTTTGTGAGCTGAGCCCTAAAACAATCTATCCACCGGAATTTGGTACCGTCGGCTTCTTTAAAAGGAATTCTGCATTAGTAAATAGTCAAGTTTGATATCATTTTGTAGATATCTTTAATTTCTACATTTTATATTCAAATTTATGTTAAACCTCTAATCTTGAGCTGAGTTATGTGTCTTACAAATGGAGTAATAAAGATGTTAGCATCAGTCCGGCTCCTTGTAGAAATTGGGTCAACACTCGGCAATCAAATATAGTCAAATTTAGTATCATTTTGTAGATCTTGTCAAGTTCTACGTTTTCCTTTTCCGATCAAAAAAAAATCCAAGTTTGAGCCGAGTTATGAGCCTCTTCTTGCGGTTTATAGATCAAAACTATTTTTCAGTTTTCAAAGTTTTTGTTTATTTTTTGGCTGTTTCATTTTCGAGGCCTCACTGATTTTTTTTTGAATTAATGGTTTGCTTATGCTCTCCTTAAATTCTATTTCCCAGGTAACCAATGGAGCCGAAGACAAATTCCGCTACGAGTCAGCCACAAACATGCTTCTAGCCACTGGAAACCTGGTAGCTGGCGAGAGATACCAAGTTGTCATCGAAGCTACCGATGGAGGAGGCAGAAGCTCCCAGGCCATCGTTATTGTACTCGCAATGGACCCAACACAACTGACATTCAGTTCGCTGGCACCACTTCCTGGCATGGAGACGTTTATGCCGAATCCAATAGCAATGGCGACTACACCAGGGACGATGGTCACTAGTGCAGGTAATTAGCTTCAACATAAGCTTAAAATTATTGAAAACGGTTTATGATAAGTCGAGTTATGAGTCCTTGTAGTTTTGAAGAGACGCAGTGAAACGAGAGAGGTCTCGTTTCTCTGCGTCTCTCAGAAAAGTTTTTAGGCTTCATATCTTCCTTAAAACACACTCAATTTTTACGATTTTTGTGTAATCATATTTTCTTGTTTCTTAGCTTCAAAATGAACTAAAAATCAATGAAAATGGACTAATATAAGGGGAGTTATGAGCCTTTTAAGTTTAGAAGAGACGCAGAGAAACGAGAAAGCTCGCTTCAAAATGATCAATTTCAAACGATTTTTGGACTATTTTGCAGCAAATTATAGGTTTTTTTTTTAAATTCTAATAAGAGCTTGGAATCGAATTTTGATGATTTTCACCACATTCGATCTCAAATTTTGCCTAGATTTCGTCTTTAGGCTTTGAAAATCATTGTCCACTGTTCACCGAAAAAGTAAACTATGTGAAAAAGTTTATCACCAATTTTTGGAAAATTCTGAATCAAAACTTTTTTACTCATGATTTTTAAAAAATCAAACGAAAATATTTAATGATTTACTACAAAATAGTTGAAAAAAGGCCAAAAACGAACAATTTAGAAGGGAGTTATGAGCACTTGAAGTTTAGAAGAGACGCAGAGAAACGAGAGCGCTCTCTTTTCTCTGCGTCTCTCTAACATAACTTCCTTCAAACATGTCCATTTTCAATGACTTTTTCGCTATTTGAACTGAAATTTTTTATATTTTCAGAATCCGAAGAAACCATTCAAACATTTGTTACCGAAGTCAACGAGAACACGCCGGCAAACACTGTTGTGGTTTCATTGGGTGACGAATCGTCAAAAGATTTGACCTACTTTAATATTGTCGGAGGAAATGAGGAGGGCAAATTTGCTATTGATGATGCGTGAGTTTCACAGTTTGGGACCTAAAACAGTTTTCCAGAATTTTTCGATTTGCCTGAATAGTTCAGGTCTAACTAAACACAAATAGAGCTCGAATTTAGCTGTTGACAACTTTTTCCTAGTTACCGTATTTTTCGAGATGTGCGCCTTTAAACTTTGAATGCTGATAGCTAGACACCAACAAATTTTAAAGGCGCATATCTCCAAAACTACAGTAGCTGGAAAAAAGTTGTAAACTACAAAATTAAAATTATATTTTTGTTAAATTTAATTTTCAAATTTTTCAAAAACGGACAGAGTGACACGGGGACCAACATACATCCTTAGCGTTTTATATATAAGGAAAATGCCCTGAGATTTTCAGATACATTGGAGAATTCTGAGACGCTTTTGTAGGGCTTCTAAGTTTCCAATTTTTGACTCAAAATTTTCACCTTTTTTTTGGATTTTAAAGCAATCAAGAATTTTTACCGTTTCAAAAGTCAGACAAGTGCTGTATGCTTTAGAAATAAAATAATGAGAACTTATCAAACGAATCAGCAAAGCTTTTTCAGGGGAACCATCGTAACGGCTGACGAGCTGGACCGCGAGAAAACCGCCATGTATTCCCTACAAGTGGAAACTAGATCTAGAAATCCAGATCAACATTTATATTGGACACTGGTACAGGTTACGGTAATGGATGTGAATGATAACGCGCCAATATTCACTGATCCACAACCAATTCGTCTTCGATTAAGTATTGATGATATTGAACAATTGACAGCGAACATGATAATTGGAAAAATTGGTGTGGAGGATGCGGATGCTGATGACAATGGACGATTGGAGTTGAGAATCATGCCTCCACATAATAAGTGAGTTTACGGTTTCAAACGAGTTGTTTAAAATTCCGAGGTCCAAAGTTTTTTGATTTTTCGGAATTATGTTTGCCCAGTTTTTCAGCTTCCCAATTCACAAAAAATTATTCAGAACGGATCGGTTTGAAGCGAGTTATGATCCTTTGAAGGTTTTTGAGAGACGCAGAGACACGAGAGTGCTCTCGTTTCTCTGCGTCTCTTCTAAACTTCAAAAGCTCATAACTCGCTTCAAAATTGTCCGTTTTTAATGATTTTTGGTTCATTTTTCTGCAAATTTTCTCACAAAACGTTGAGTCAATTGTCATGGCTGGAGTATCAAGAAGTCATGAAAAACAAATTACTGTTTCAAAATTTTTCTGAATTTTTCTGAAAAAAACAATACGAATTGACAATACATTAGGATGTTCCTATCTTACAGTCTACAAAAATTTCCAGACTATTCGCCATTTCCAACGAAGGCATCCTTAGCGTCAACGGAGATTTCACAGCTGCTCATTTCGGTGAGCACGATTTGACAATCGTCGCAAGAGATCATGGAGAACCATCATTGGAAACAAGAGCACGAGTTCAAATTTCCATTTTTGGAACATTGATCACAATGGCTACGGTAGCGCCGACGGTAAGTCAGAGTCACGAAAAATGCAAAACTCAAAATGCGACGCCTCTTCGCCTTCAAAATGCTCAGAAAATCATTCGAAACGGATCATTTTGAAAAGAGTTATGAGCTTTTGAAGTTTTTGAGAGACGCAGAGAAACGAGAGTGCTCTCGTTTCTCTGGGTCTCTTCAAAATTTGAAATGATCATAACTTCCTTCAAAATGGTCCGTTCTAAAAGATTTTTAGCGCATTTTGAAGACGAAAAACTGGAAAATAGAATTTGAACAAAACTATGAAATAAAAGACAAACGAAAAATCGCTAGTTCCAGAAGTAGCTAACGTACCGCCTACCGTTTCTGAGTATACGGGGAAACGGTAACATTTTTTGAGAGAAACTTTCAAGGAAATGTTTATATGCAAGAAAATCAAATTTTCGCAAAACAAATTGTTGAAAAATCACAGAAAACGGTCGAGTTTGAAGCGAGTTATGAGCATTCACAGTTTGTGAAAGACGCAGAGAAACGAGAGTGTTCTCGTTTCTCTGCGTCTCTTCGAGTTTGGAATTGGTCATAACTAGCTTTAGAAAGGTCCGTTTTAAGTGGTTTTTGAACTGTTTTATAGTAAATTTTTTAGCTTTTTCATTAATAAAATTTGATTCATTGTTTGAAAAAAATTAAATTTCTGTTTCAAATTTGTTTTGTTATGACTGAACATCTGGAAACGCAGTTCTTGGTACATTTACGATTCAAAAAAACAAATTTTTTTCAAGTTTGGAAATTTACAAAATTCGCCAAATTCTTTAAAAAAATAGTCCAAAAATCATTGAAAACCTATTATTTTGAAGGGAATTATAGGCTTTGAAAGTTTCGAGAGGCGCAGAGAAACGAGAACACTCTCGTTCCTCTGTTTCTCTTCTAAACTTTGAGGGCTCATAACTCGACTTAGGATTGTTGGTTGTCTGTGTTTTTTTTACTATTTTGTAGTAAATTTTTGGCTTTTTTTTCTGTTTTTAAAAATTTTTGTATTTAATTCTTTCAGAACGAGGTATTTGAGTACACATCAAGTGTAGAGGAGGAGCCACAAACGACGAATCCGGACGAATTCCTTCAAACTGTCACAATGCCTCCATCCACGAAAAATCAAGTCCCTCAACAGATTTTTTCGTCTTTCCCGGCTCCCTCGGAGCAGACAAATGCACCGGAACCCGAATTTCCACAATTCCCAACATTCCCAACACTCAGTCCACATCCTCAGGTATGTTTCTATTCTCGGGGCTACAGTATTCAGGAATTCAGAAAATTCAGAAATTTAGAAAATTGAGAAATTCGAAAATTCGGAAATTCAGAAATTCAGAAATTCAGAAATTCAGAAATTCAGAAATTCAGAAATTCAGAAATCTAAAAAATTCAAAAAACCTAAAAATTGATGTTTCAGAAAATCCTCAAAATCTAGATTTTTGAAATTTCTGTATTATTTTCCAATCCTTCTTTTAGACAAACAGACACACAGACCGACACAGATTTTTCTTTTTTTCCAGATTTTCCCCCTGTAAATCGCTATATTTTAAGTTCAATTAACGCTTTTTTTCAGTTTCATTGCCCTCAAATTCTGAAATTCCAGAAATTTTAGTTCAAAAACACCATTTCAGTTACCCCACTTTCAGGTCGACGAGGAAACCGAAGAGGAAGAAGAAACAGAATATCCGGATACTGTCCCAACCACAGGTACAGTACCCCCGACGTTCGACTATTCCGAGGAGTACGGTCAAGAGGCGAGTAGTAGTACTGTACCACCCAGCACGCCAGAGGAAGTTCAAGGAATCTGGTCTGAAACTCCTGAGTTCCCGGAACCCGCATCATCTGAAAATCCCATCACGGCACTTCCAGAATTTCCAGAATTTCCAGAAAATGTTCTGGAAATTTCCAGCACTTTTGCACCAGACACACCACCTGAAATTGCACCTGAAAATCACGAAAATCCCGATTCCACGTGGCAAGAAGAAACCGAAACCAGTCAGGTAGTGCTTGCTTCTACCCCTTGCACTTTTCACTAACATTTTGAGGCCGCGGTCGGTCGCGGCCGATCGCGGCCAGTGCTTGGAGATTGGCCTGGGAATAGAGAAATTGAAAATGCTAGAAATAAGAGAATTAAAACGAGTTGGCAAATATGCTTCAGCCAATTTTGAGTATCCGGTGAAACAGTTAACTTTTTAATCAATTTTGCCTAAAAACTGTTTTGTTTTGAATTCGAAATTTATTGTACCAAATTTTACACAAAATTTCCTACAAAATAATCCAAAAATAACTAAAAATGCACCATTTTTAAAAAAGTTATGAGCTTTAGAATTTTTTGAGGAGACGCAGAGAAACGAGAGATGTCTCGTTTCTCTGCGTCTTTTCGAAACTTCAGAAGTTTGTAACTCGGCTTTTAGTGGTCCGTTTTTATTGACTATTAGACTATTTTGTGGAGAATTCAATGCTTTTTGTAATTTTTCAAAGCTAATAAGTGGAGAGACGCAGAGAAAGCAGACACTCTTGTTTCTCTGCGTTTCTCATCTTTTTGACTTGGAAAGAGCATAACTTGGCTCAAACTTAACAGATTTTAATGGTTTTTAAAGCATTTTGTAGATAAAATCTCTTAGAAACTTCAAAGGCTATAACTCGCTGCAAAACGGTCTGTTTTCAATGACTTTTAGCTCATTTTCTCACAAATTCGTAATCTCCAAACTTCAAACTTTTTAGACTCAATTTTACCAGTTTTTAGCTTCAAAATGAGCTAAAAATCATTCAAATCGGACCATTTTGAAGCGAGTTATGTGCTTTTAAAGCCTGTAGGAGACGCAGAGAAATGAGGGTATTCTCGTTTCTCTGCGTCTCTTCAGAACTTTAAAGGCTCATAACTCGGTTTCTGGTGGACCATTTTCAATGCATTTTCGCTCATTTTAAAACGAAAATCTGGACAAACAGAAGAATTCAGAAATATATTCACATTTTTTCTAGAAAAATTTTTCACCGTTTCACCGTATACTCAGAATTGAGAGACATTGTTAACGCGTACTTGGTGTGCCTTACCTCATTTTTTATGATATAAATGATTAAAGAATTTCCAGGAGCTTCCATCTCACCCAACAACAAAAATGGCGCCACCACCAGTCACCCAGGCTCCGCCCCCTCTCCCAGCTCAAAAGCGGCTTGCTCCAGTGTTCAAACCATCTCAAATTACTGTACAAATCGATGAGAACGAGTCACAAGTGGAAATTACCAAAGCGCATGCGACGTATCCAGATGGACTGCCAGGAACGATTACATATGTTCTTCATAAGGGAGATTCAAGCCTTTTTTCGGTTTCTTCTTATTCTGGAAGTGTTAATTTGCTCAGGCCTTTGGATGCGGAGATGAACTCGACGGTTACCATACAGGTTTCCACTTCGGAGGTTGGCTTTACTTTTAATTGCTGTTTCGACTTTTTTTTTGATTAAGAAGAATTGTTATTTTAGAATTTATCTTATCATTTCTTAGATTCTCGAGATTTTTTAGACAGTATACATTTTTAAGAAGCGCTTTTTGTAGATTTCAATCTTCATGTCATTCTCTTTTAAATGAGCCAAAAAGCATTAAAAACGGTCCACTAGAAACCGAGTTATGAGCTTTTGAAGTTTAAAAAAGACGCAGAGAAACGAGAGTGCTCTAGTTTCTCTGCGTCTCTTCTGAACTTTAAAGATTAATAACTCGCTTCAAAATGGTCCGTTTTGAACGATTTTCAGCGCATTTGGAAGCTTAGATACTGGTAAAATTGTAAAAATAGTAGAGCTTGTAAATTTTTATGACAGTTTTAAAAAGGAATACGGTAGTCATAACCGATACCTTGTACAACGTTACACAAAAATGTGGACAGAAAACTTTGAAATTTCAGATGTTTGAAAAGTTTCTTAAAAAGAAAATTGAAGTTAAAGTTCAAATCTCGGGTTTTGTTGCAAAATTAAAGTGAAATTTGAAACTAAAATTTGAATTTATTTTTGAAACAGCAATTGTCTAGAATTTTGATTTTTATCTAGGTTTTTTCCAGGCCCAAACCCTCGAAGTGGATCCAAAACTGGCACATTTTGTGAGCATTACAATCAATGTAGCTGATAAGAATGATTGGATTCCAAACTTCGAAAGTGCTTCATACGATTTTGATGTGAAGGAAGACACACTGCCAGGAACAATTGTGGGACAAGTCAATGCATTCGATCAGGATAGAGATGTAAGTTTCCAAGGTTTTGGCTCGAAAGTGCGCCAAAAGTGACCTAGTTTTCAATTTAGGACATGACCTAGATTCCAGTTTTTAGGTCAAGACCTAGATTCGCTCGTAACTCGCTTCAAGATTGTCGGTTTCGAATGATTTTTTGCTCATTTTAAAGCAAAAAAGACCGGAAGTTCAGCAAACAGAATAGTTCGTTTTAAATTGAACACTTTTCCAGAAACAGAAAAATTTTCAAAATTAGTCTCTGTTTTTTTTTCTGGGGGGACTCACTTTCTCATACACTTTTGTTATTTAGCTTCAGAAACGCATAACTTTCTTTGGAAAATTTTTTCCATCATTCTCACAGGTTCATAGTGTCTGGTACTCTTTCTAGATTTTAAAATGTTACCTAATTTGCCGAATTTTGAGAATTTCAAAGGTTCCATTCTTCCAGTTTGTATAAGAATTTGAAAAAATTACCAAAGCTAGCAATAAGAATAATTCATTTTGAACTGAACACTTTTTTTTTTGAAACAGCGAACATTTTTCAAAATGATCAAAATCTCCTAATTCTAAGACTTTGAAAGATTCTATCTCTTCAGGTTTCAAGCTTCAAAAAGCGCTGAAAATCGTTTAAAATGGACCATTTCGAAGCTAGTTATGAGCCTTTTCATGTTAGATGAGACGCAGAGAAACGAGAGCACTCTCGTTTCTCTGCGTTTCTTCACGACTTCAAAAGCTCATGACTCGCTTCAAAGTGGTCCGTTTTTAATGCTTTTTTGCTCATTTTTAAGCTAAAAAACTGAAAAAAAGTGAATCTTAAAAAACCTCAAAAATAAAATTTTCTGAAAATTGCAGGACCCGAACAACCGTATCAGGTATCGCCTGTTGTCTGCCGGAGGTCTGGAGGCGCACTTCAATGTGAACGCGGAGAGTGGACTAATCACGTTGGCACGACCCATTGACGCGTTTGCAGGAGAGAAGATTACGGTAGGTTACTGTAGATTATTGTAGCTATAAACATAGAATAGTACAATGAAGTGGAGGGGTTACTGGATCACTAAGCTACTATTTTTAGCTCCGTATCGAGGGAGCTGACAGTGGAATGCCTCCGCTTTCTTCCACAACTACCGTACTCATCAATGTCGTCGCCACGTCATCACATTTGATTCCTGACGCATCGCCAGTTTCGAATACACCAAACGAAGGAGAACTACAGTTCAGCTTGAGGAATTATACGTGAGTTTTTTAAACCAAGCATCAATAAATTCTGAAATGTGTTTCAAAATTCACATAATCCTTTAGAAAATGGCCCAAAACCACTGAAAACTGACTATTTTGAAGCGAGTTATGAGCCTTTGAAGTTTAGAAGAGACGCAGAGAAACTAGAAAACTCTCTTTTCTCTGCGTCTCTTCTAAACTTAAAATACCCGTAACCAGCTTTAAAATTGACCGTTTTCAATGATTTTTGTAACCATTTTGTGGTAAATTTTCTTCGAAATACGGACATTTGGAAATTCCGAAAAACAAAAAGAGCTTTTTCAAAACAGAGCATAGTTAGATAATTGAGTGACGTTAAAAAATAATTGTTCAATGTGTGACTTTGGAACAGTAATTTTTCACTGTTTCATCTCAAAAATATTCTGAATATCAAATAATTTTTGGCAATAGAAGAATTACGAATGTTGCGGAATTCCTATAGAATTTTTGTGGACATGTGAACATTCAGATGCACAAAGTTCATAAAATTTGAAAAATTCTCCACGAAATGGCCCAAGAACCACAGAAAACGGATTATTCTGAAGAAAGTTATGTGCCTTTGAAGTTTAGAAGAGACCCGGCGACGGTAGTGTTGGATAGATGCACCTTTAAAGAAGGAAAGGGGACAATCCTGATGTCTGCCTGCGCAATTAATTTAAAGGCGCATATCTTTAGAAATACCGTAGCTATAAAAAAGTTGACAGCTACAAAATTAAAGCTCTATTTTTGTTAAGGAACTTCTGAAATTTTCAGACGAATCCAAAACATGTTCCCACTTTCCCAGGGCTTGAAAATTGACTACTTTTTAGATCCGAGAAAAGCACTCACATCTTCCGAAATTCTCTCCAATCTG